ATTTCTATCCGTTGGTAATTACCGACGGAAAATGATGTTTGTAATTACCAATGGATTCTTTTCTCGTAGGAAAAAATTAGCGGCGGGCCTTTCAGCGACGGATTTACCGACGGCAATTTTCTGTCTCTAAAGGTTATTTGCAACGAAAATCAAGGCTTCAGCGACGGAAATTTCCGTCTCTGAAGCCGCATTTTTTTGTAGTGCTAAATATAGGCTAAGAAGACAAATCCTGGATGTTTTGTGTTCTGGTGCCTTCTTTTCTATAGTTCCATCTTGCTTCTGGAATAGAATTTCTCGAAAGGAATCAGATCATCGAAAAGAATTTTCTTGAAAACAAGCATCCAACAAAGGGATTCGGATAAAAACAAAAAAGTAAGCTTAAACATAAATTCTATGACGGATAAGAAAATATTGAAGTAAATTGTATTCAAATATATATAAAAAGTGAACATATTCTTGACATCTTGTAGTTATCAAGACTCACTAAACACATTTAGTATATACTAGTCAAAATTGAATGTGCATTACACATTCTTCTGAAATATTTTATAAATGCCGTAAAAGTAATATTTGAAGATGAATATTAATTTTTTGAGAATTAACAAGAATACATGCATGAACAATGATTTTCTAATATTTAGTACAATTTGTAATTGAAATTCATGTTATGAAAGTACACAACTGAAATGAATCTGTCAAATGAACATTGATGACAACTAATTAGTTGGAAAAATAATTCATGAAATATTGTTCAAATGGTTAATACAAATACGATATACAAATTAACGTGAATGTTAATTAATTTCGAATTAATACCAGAAAATATAAACGTGACAATGAATGTTAAATCATTTATACTAAATGAATATAATTTAATTTTCAATTAAGTGAAACTAGATGCTAATTATCATACATTCACATGAATAATGAAATACAGTCTAGCTTGAATGTGAAATTCTCATTAACTTACAATTAGAATTAATAACACTAAAATGTATAAATGAAGATGAATATTATTTAAATGAATATAAATGTTAATTAGTTGAGAATTAATATCAAAAAATTTATACATGAACAAGAATTGAGTTTCATGTGGTGAAAGCACACAAGGGAAATGAATATATCAAATGTATATTTATGGTGACCAAATAGTTGGCAAAATAATTCATGATAATATTATTCAAATGGTTAAATAAATTAAATACATATTAAAAAAGGAAAAGTAAAATATTATTGAAATAATTGAATTGTAATAGGTTTACAATAGTTCAAAAAATAATTCTCATTTAATATGATATTTAATATATTATTATCATTATAAATAGAGATTTGGTGTACAGTGTTATATAGTACTGAACAAAAATAATAAATATGATTTTAGCTTTTTAATACATTTAAAAGACTAGTTCATTGAACAACAGTACCAAACAAACTACAATGAAGATTTCATATGACATAAATTGTTAAACAACTCCCTGTTTATAAACTATAAAGGGTTCAAATTAACTTAAAACAAACAAATTAAAGACAACATCAAATTCTGAAAAGTTTGATAGCCTAAATAACTTCGATCGAAACCTGCCTAAAGACGCATAAGAGAAATCTCAGAACCTTTTTGTATAACATTTGTTTTATTTTAGGTACAGATACTGATCACCTATGTGTTATCCTGCAGAATTCCGGTTGTAGTTGCCTTATACAAGCTCCCGCTGCTCCCCGAGCGGTTTCTGAAGCTGACTTTTCGACTTCTTGTCCTCATCTTCCACTATGCTATGATCACCACCATTAGTCGACCCTCCGTGGGTTAACGAGCTACTTGATACACCAGCTGAGGAGCTTGAAAGCTTTTGTATTTGAAGCCTGTATTTCTGAAAATTACACAACTTCTCATCATAATGTGCCTATATATACTAAGTAATGTTTGGTAGAGAGCATGAAACAAGGCTCAACAATAATTCTGAAAAGGATTCAACCACAATGCAGAATCAGATTGATTTTACTTTTTAGGAAAATTTAAGAAATATTTACACTTTATGTAACATGTATTTTTAAAATTTACACTTTACATACTCCATTTTATAGTATGCAAAAAGCAACTTCTACTAAAAAAAATTACAAATTGTCCATTTAAAATCGTTAAATAGACTAAAATATCCATAATAAAAAAAATAAAAAATCAACCCTTTGCATTACATTATGTAACACTTTAAATACCAATTCTTTTATTTTTATCCTCCAAAAATTCAATTATTAATCGAAAAATTTATTTATTTTTATTTCTCATTCATCTATCCCTCCATAAATTTAAATTCAGTTGAGTCATCTCACTATATCATATACATAATTTTATTTCCATTTTCAATTTCCACACATAATTATATATTTTTCTTAGTTATATTTATATATTGTTATCTTCTATTAAGCTTTCTCACGGAATGATAAAATTCATCTATGATAAATACCAATAAAAATACTGCAGCCTTGACAATTTTTTAAGTTGCAAGATTACCCAAACTTAAAATGAATAAAAATGTAAATAGGCAATTAAAATATTTTTTTATATATTATTTGTTATTTTGTAGCTAAAACTCAATTTTTACTCATTGAACAAATATTTTTTAATTAGAATATTGCAATTAAGAATTTTTATTTGTTTTAAAAATGATGAAATAGTCAAATGAAGTATTTTCTAATATTTTATTAATTTATTAAAATTTACTTTTGTTGATTTGATGTAGAGTTTAGAGAAGGAAGACAAATTTTTTTATTGTTTTGAATCTTAAGCAACAAAAAAAAAGAAAAGACATCCTTTAAAGAAAAATACAATAAAAAATTAAAAAATTGAAAAATAGTATGCAAAATGTTATATTATGTAGTATATAGAGCGTGATTTATTATTTTAGTTAAGGGTATTTTACTTGTTTAGCTATTTAAAATGACATTTATTTAAAAAATTTCAACAAATTGTGTTTTTTATATATACATAATGCAAAATATAGTATGTAATATTATACCTTTATACATGATATATTTCGTAAATTTCCATTAATTTTATAATATACCTGCAAATGACTTTTCACTTCATCATTGGTAAGGCCATCCACTCTCATGACTTCTCTTATCTGCTTTGGCGTCGCTGCATCAAAATGAACAAATCAGTAACCTTAAATTACATCCTAGATATAAACGAGAGAGAAATACCAAGAGATATATAAATTCAAGTCGCACAAAACTTTTTTATGGCGAAATTCTATAAGGCCGTGTTTGTTATGCAGTATTGGACAAGAGCAATAGTACAACATACAAAATGTAGCTACTTTATTACCCTACCATGCATCCTAGCAAACAATTTTCTTACACTTGATGTTACAAGATTCGGTTTTCTGATCCTATTGGCATTGTTCAATAGATTTCTACATGAAATATCAGACATTTTCTTAGAAGATAATTTTAAATTACTAAGGGGGAATTAAATTCGACTTGAGACAAACAAGAAATTACCAATTCTAATGTCCTCTAATTCCTTGTCCTCTTCAAGATTTTGCATGGCTCAACTTCAATTTAAATCATCCATCTTTTCCTTTCTATACACAAGCAAACATTTCATATCTAACAAGGTTCACATCCCCTTCTCTAGCTTTTCAAAATATTATATAACAATTAGGGACGGATTTAGTGTGGAGGCAGTGGGGACAGCTGCCCACACACTAAATTTCAAATTTTGTCCAAAATTTTCAAAAAAATCCTAATATTAAAATTTTGTGAAAATTACCCCCACAATTCTTTTATCCTAGCTCCGAAAACAATACAGCTTTTCAAGGTACTGTTTTCAAGGTATATATAAGTGAGCAGAACTTCAATAATTCCATGAATACAAACTCGAACATTTCATATCAAACAATGTTCACATCCCCCTCCCCTCCCCTCCCCTCTCCTCACCACAAAAACAATACATACGTCGAAGCCGGGAGGTAGGATTGGGGACGGAAAGCGGCATCAAGGATAATGATCCTCACCTTGTACTCCTCCAAGCTGATGGAGTGCACTGGCAAATCTCTGGTGCAGTTCCGGGGACCAATAGCGCCTTTGCTTTCGCGGTGCCTCCTCCTGCTGCTGCTGCTGTACCCTATCGTCATTACATTTCGTTTTCAAACTCAAAGACGATCCCATTTGATTCACATCTCCACCAGATTGTTTCTTGAATGGCACAAATGCCCCTTCTTGATAACTCTATAATCAAAAAATCAGATTTCAAACATAAATAATGAATTTGAAAAAACCCCTAAAAGTATTCAAAATAAAAAAAATTAAAAATTCCTGAGAACGTTACCGATTTGAGGTGTAGACCAGATTGTTGATTTTTGCTCGAAAATTTATTTTCATACTGCACTGGGGTGCTCCACAACTGAGCAGAACTCATCCAACTTTTTTTATCACTGAAATCTCCTGATCTTTTTCCCCTTCCATTTTCAACAGAATCACTCTTTAAAGGAATGAATTGTTCCATCACTGGTCTCACTTCTTTACCCTTTAACTGCAATTTCTCCTCCTTTAGTTTCTCAATAGCTGAAGAAAAATCAAATCATCCCCAAAAAAGTCAGAACCCACAAAAATAAACAAAAAAGGGTACATAAAGATCAAATCTTTATATGAAAAGATAAAACCAGTGATAAAAAAAATGAGAACTTTTAAGAAAAAAATTATACTAACCGTCCTTTAACAGAAGCATGCAGTTTGGAAGCTCACGTTTGAAATAATCGATCTTCTTCAATTCTTCTTCCAATGCGTTAACATGAAAATCCAGCTTTGATAATTTCTGGGAAAAATCGTCGATCAATGAAACTTCTGCAAGAATATCTGAAATGATCTTGGGAGCAAAATTTGAGTCCGCATCTACATTCAGTTCCGTTAAGTTCTCACCCATTTTTCTGACGCCCTTCTCAAGGAATTGTTTTCAAATCTTTTTCTCTGTATAATTTTGTGAAAAGCAAAATTATATGCTATCTTACATTGCCCAGATAATCAAGCACAAGAGGCTGGTAGCGGCTTCTGGTTTATATAAGTGTGCAGTGGGGGAGTAAAAGGAAAATGAGGGGCAAAAAAGTCAATAAATTGGTGGGGTCATTTTGATTCTTGGAACAAAAAGACTATATTATTCTATTCACTTGGTTTTTTTGTGTTTTTTTAACATTTTCGTGTCGTCGCATAAGTGTGTTTATATGTAGATGTTATTATTATAAAGGCAAATTGCAGGACTGGTCCTCAACTTGTAGCACTAGTATCAAGTAGGTCTCTAACCATTAATTCCACAATCCACCACCTTCAATACCGAAAACTTTAATAATCTATTTGCTTAGTTTTATGTAGTTATGCTTTACTTCACTAAGAGTAGATCTAGTTCTAAAAATAACTAAATAAGTAAATACAATTTTATTTTTTTTTTGCCTAAATTGATGGATCTTATTTGTAACTAAATCGATTCCTAATGCTTTCTAGTTGAACACGTTAATTCAGTCCATTTTGGATAAAACACTTAGTAAGACAAGCTTTCACGAGGGTGACATAACGCGATTAAATCAAGGACTAATGTGAAAATATAATGAAATATTGAAGATCAGTTTGCTCATGTTTAAAGTTTTGAGAGTCAACTTGCTACTTTAGTAATAAGTTGAGGACTAATAGTAAAATTTTCTCAATAATATATAGTATTTTCATTATTTCCAATTTAATTGGATGGTTTATAATTGATTTCTTTTTCAAGATTCTCCAAAATGGTAGGGCCAAAGGGTACATTTGTTGACCAAATTTTGAGGAGTTAAAGGAGAAAGTTGTCTTTTTGGATTGAAATTTCAATTATTTGACAAGAATGTAATTTAATTAGGGATTATGAGGATTACTGAAACCTTGTATGAGATTAAGTAGATCCACTGCAGCTTCAAAAGCAATCCATTTCACAAGATGGTAAGGGAAAATTATTCCAGATTATGTAATTCATAGAATAAGAATTATGCAGGGACAGAGTCATAGATTCTTTAAATCCTGTAATCTGAATAAGATTTATGTAGGGACAGACTTTCAAAACCAACTTATAATTAGGAAAGTAATTAGCAAATAATTAATGGTTATTATAATTAAGTTCTTTGCATCTATAAATTATAGTTCACACAAAATATTAATATTAATATTGCTGTCCAATTAAAATATAGTTGTCCAAATTTTTTTTTGAAAAAAATGGATTTCATAATTATATAGATTTCTCTAATCAATTTTGCGATTGCTATCGATTTCACTTCAATTAATACGTAGATGTTGTCATTATGTTATTTGAGTCGAACTATCGAGAACAAATTTAATTCAAAATATTGAGATCGGATTGAGAAATTTTTGAAAGAATTACGTTATTTAATTTGAAATATTGAAATCTGATTTAAGAGAAATACATTATTAGATTCGAACTATTGAGACCAAATTTAGGGAAATTTAAGAGAAACGAGTTATTAGAAAATTGGTATCAGATTTAGAAAATTTTTAGAGAAATACGTAATTTGATTTGAAGTATTAAGATCTGACTAAGAAAAATATATTATTTGAATCGCAATACTGAGACAAAATTGAGAAAATTTTACGAGAAACATATTATTTGATTTGAAATATAAAGATAAGATAAAGAACATTTAAGAGAACTATGCTATCTGACTCAAACTATTGAAATGGTTTAGAAATTTTTAAGAGAAATATTTTATTTGATTCGAATTATTGAGATTAGATTTCGAAAATTCTAAGAGTAAAGATAAATAAATGCAAATGAAAGTGGTCCTCAACCTATGGGTACGGTGTGGAAATAGGATATTGACACCTAAGGAAT